AGATGAATCCCAGATGCTTTTCATATACCCTAAATTCAATATAATCAACATGTAATCCAAAATTTTAGGCATGGAATATCCTCAGATTGACATCCTCTTCTCCAGACACTTCCCTTAGACCTCACAAACAGACCAGGGATCAGCGTATGAATCAAATAACATACAAATTTTATTGTAGCCACTTACATTATAAACCAATAAAAACAGCTTCCTGGTCCTGACGATGTGTATACAGCCATATTGTGGTATCAAACAGCTTCCTGATTATAAAAAAGTATATACCGCCACAATACTTCCAAACACTGACACTTCAGCTCTAGAAAGGTGCCAGGAGTATACTAAGAGTCCCAGGAATACAGACCAGCATGCGCTCCAGAATCCAAAATGGCCACCACGGCACTTCCGGGAACGTCAATACGTCACGTGCCCCAGACCTGTTTCGTCACTTCTGGACTTTGTCCTTGTTGACAAAGTCCGGATGTGACGAAACACTTCAGTGGAGTGTTTGGAAGATCCAGAGGAAGGCAAAATAAAAATCATGGTCAATACACCGCAGCAGGGGAAAAATAAATTCCTTCCTTATCCACCTTGTTTCTGTGTGTAGTTTGTTCCAATATATGTATATGCAGACATCCATATTTGTAATTAAATATGCATGCTTTGCTACCTACTTGGCAATAGCTAAACAATGGCCATGCTTTACTACTTTTTCTCGCAATGGGGTTGATTTACTAAAGGCCAATAGACTGCGCACTTTTCAAAGTGCAGTTGCACTCTAAGATCAGTTGCTCCAGAGCTTAAGAAATGAGCAGAAGCTCTGTTGACTTCCATCATCCAATTGTGTGCAAACAAAAGTGCTTTTTTTCAATTCTCCTTTCACATGAATGGGTATTCCTTGCAAGTGAATCGTTATCTCATTTACAAAACTACACTTGCAGATTGAAACTGCACCTTGTATGGTACTTAGTCTATTTGCCTTTAGTAAATCACTCTTAATGAGTTACTAAAGGAGAAATGGAGAAAAATCATGTCCTCTTTTTAAGGGAATTTTCATTTAACTTAGTAATTGCAAAGAAGCTGTTTTGGCTTCAAACATCCAGGCATGTAAGGTTCCATGTACACTGCAGCTGATAAACTGACGTTCAGGAGTTTTTCTGCGTTTTTTTTAGCAGCCCCTGAACTTACCCTAATATTTTCCTATGTGTCCATGTACACATCGTCGTTTACAGGCAGTTACGTTTACAGTCGTTTTTTTGAACGCACCAAACTTGCGTTCAGGAGTAGATTTTATCAGAGTTCCAAACGCTTGGAAATGCAGCTAACCACGTTTTATAAGCGTTTGCGTGTATTTTGCCTTCCTCTGGATCAACTATATGTATAGGTTTGTGTATGTGGAGGTTTTCTATTCATTTTTGCAATTGGTTAATCTAGATGGACTTGTGTCTTTTTTCAACCTATGTATTTATGTTTTAAAACATAAACGCAATAATTTTTATCTTTGATCAATATCTTTAGAAAATGCTGAAAAGACTTCATATTCCCTTTAAGAACAATTCAACAACCTAGACTCTCCTTTTTAAACGTGAATTCCTAAAATGACTCTGATGCTATTTTTAAAAATTAAAATAAAAAATAACCATAAGAAGTCTGCTAAAGATTAGCTGGAACAACAATACACAAGGAAGGATGCGAAGATTTGCTGGTGTGTTCTGCTAACAGAAAAAGGGGACAAAAAAAAAAAAAAAAACAAATAACTCTAGTCAAAAAAGGCCTTGGTAAAACCTGTGCCTGCTTTCCAATGCATAGCAAAACATCCTCAGTAGCACATACAGGGCCGCTGATAAGGGGGTATCACCAGTCCTCCTGTACCAAGCCTTGGCCAGCAGAGAATTCAGATGTTGGCAGGAGAGCGGGTGATCGGTGCAGCAGGAGGTTATATACAGGAACCAATCCCCTGTGCATCTCTCCCTGCAACAGTTAGAAGCTGACTTCTCCTCCTTTCCCTCCTTCAGCTGCTGCAGGGAGAGATACAGGGGATCAGTTCTTGTAATTGCCCCCACTGCACTGATTGTTTGATCTGTGCCTCCTCTAACCCCCCCCCCCCATGTGCCCCCTTTGCCCTGCCCCACAACACTGTTGGCTTCCCTGCTCTCCTCTCCCGCCAGCTGCTGCTGCTTTCACAATAGAGAGCAGGGAAGGGGCCGGTAAATGTCATATTTTTCGGGCCGCTCCTTTTGTGAATGAACACAGCCAGTGATTAGTATCGATCACTGACTGTGTTTATTTATAACTCAGGCATAGTAAACATATGTTACTATGCTTCAGTTTGTGAATAAACAGGAGCTCTTGTACAGAGTGCTTCCCATTCATTTGCTGTCCAGTGCAGCTGAGGCTGCAGAGAAAGGGATGGAGGAATCTATGTCCTCAGTCCCTTTCTCGGTCTCAAAAGTGAGACATCAGGGGTCTGTTTAGACCCCTGATATTTCAACAAAACCTCCAACAGCGTTGTGAGAAAAAAAATAAAAAAAAAGTATAAAAAAAAAAAATAAGTTAATAATTGAAAAAAAAAGATAAATAGTTAAAAAAAAAAATGAAGGGCTTATTCACATAGGTTCTTTGGCCCACACAGTGTGAATGGGCAATTTGTTTGTGTGGCTGGAGCTACCTGTTACTCTATGGCACTAGTGTTAGTTTGGATTTGTGGCAGACTTTAGGTTCTAGGATCTCAGCTGCATTGGTGTCCTGAGAATGGACCCAGCCCTGCAATCCTGTGACTAAGACTAATATTACTACGGTGGAGAGCTGAGATGGGTGCATTGTAGGTGACTTGTTTCAGGTCACCGGCCCATGTGGACGGTCTCACCTGCACCTTGCTCAGGTACTGCCAGCTGAGGGCCACCAGCAGCATGGCTCAAGAAAGATCTATTGGGCTGAATCTGTGATGCCATTGGGCATACTTAATTTCCTTATGGTAGCCAGGATATTTTGTGTCTGCTCAGATGACGGGTCTGTCAGGGCAATCTGCCGGTAGATCTGCAAAATGAGAATGTCATGTGATTAAATATCAAAGGATATTTATGTAGCTGCCCCTTTTACAAACCTGGTAGCCATATCACATAAAGTTATTATATTTTTACAACATATTTGAACAAACATTAGATCTTGATTCAAATAGTGCCTACAGATAAGTGTGATATACTCAGGCCTTTTTTGCTGCCAGAATGTGGCAGGAATCCATTCAACCACCTCCAGCACTAGCCATGTGCTCACCGTTGTCTACTGTTACTTGTAAAACACAGACGCCTCAGTTCTGTGTTCACAAGTGACAGCACAGAGTTCATTTCTCCTGGCGGCTTCCACAGAACCTCCCAGCAGCTGCACCCAGAGCCAGAACAGTTGCTCGGGACTGTGTGCGCATGGGCAGGAGGTGGGACATTACATGTTGAGCTACCGATGTCTGGATGGCGATCCCACAGCTTCTGCTGTCAAGGGGGAAGAGGGGCAGCCAAAAGTGAAAGAACACTCTGTGCATAAAGCCAGCCTGATATTTGGCAAAGATGTAAGCAAGACAGTGAAGGGGGATAATTGGGGGGGGGGAAGGGGGATAATTGGGGGGGAAGGGGGGTCTTGTGCAAATCTGAGGAGATACAGAGGTCAGAGATGAGGAGGGGTGCAGAAGTAAGGAGCTATGTAAGAGGGCTGCAAAGCTTAGCTGTTGGGGGATTGCAGAGATAAGATGTAGAAAAAGTTGCAAAGGTGAGTTGTGGACAGGAGTTAGCTATGGTCTGGGGTGCAGAGGTGATCTGTAAATGGGGGGGAAGGGGGGAGTGTGAGGAGGTGAGCTGCATCATGGAAGTTGGGTAGGGGGTGCAGAGGTGGGTTGCGGATGAGTGGGGTTGCTGAGGTGAATTGCAGACGGGGTGCAGACATGAGTTACGGAAGGGTGGGGGCACAGAGTAGAGTTGCAGTGTGAACAGGGGGTGCAGAGGTGCTTTTTGGATGGGTGGGAGTGCAGATGTGAGTTGCAGAAGGGTGGAGGGTGCAGAGGTGAGCTGCAGATTTTGATGGGATGCAGAGGTGATTTGTGAATGGAGATGTAGTGGTAAGTTGTAGATGGTGAGTACAAAGGTGAGGTGTGTGTGTGTGTGTGTGTGTGTGTGGGGGGGGGGGGGGGGGGAGAAGTGAGTCATGGATGAGGGTGTAGAGCTAAGAAGTGAAGTGAGCTGCAAACAATTGTGGACGAGGGCACTGAAGCGAGTTGTGGTTTGTGGTGCAGCGGTGAATTGTGGATGGTAGGTGCAGAGACGAGTTGTTGTGGGAGGTACAGAAGTGAGTTGTGGACAGGGGATGCAGAAGTCAGTTGTGGACCAGGGCGCAGTGAGTTGTGGATGGGGATACAGAGGTGAGTTGTAGTTGATGGAGTACAGAAGTAAACTTAGGACTGGGCAAAAGTGAGCTTAGCACAAGGCAGAGTTGAGTTGTGGGCAGTGTGGTGCAGAGGTTTACAATGCCCCTTTAAGACCTGCCCACTGTGCATACTGGCCATACCCACACTATAACAGAGTGTGCATGGTGCGATAATCTGGGGGGAGGGGGGGAGCATTGATGGTGGTGAGTTCCTGCACCTATTTTCTGAAAAAAAAAAAAAAAAAAACCCTGAATATACTTTAGCAAACGACACCTAAAACTATCATGGTGTATTCATTTTTTATGATCTAATTTAATGAAAGCACACCCCTATATTTATGCCGCAGCGTGGGAGGGAATATGACCTGATATGGCTCAGGAGGGATGAGAAGTGGGGGGCTTATATACAGGTTATTGCCAGTCACTAACACTTTCTTTTTGGCTGACCAGAAATGTTCTTTGTTTTTCCACAGTACCATTACATTGATTGATATTTTTATTAAATAAGGTATTGAAAAAAGTATCACTTTTATTTGTAGGCGCTGTTGAGATCAAATGTGCTGAAAAAGTTACCAATTTGCTTAATTTATTTTTTATTTTTCACAAATGTATATCCATATTGCATATTTTTGCCTGAGGGAGAGACTGTGCTGAAAAATATAAGATATCCATACCTCCTCTGCATATTGGTACGTGATGGCTCTTACAGCCTGCATGTCTGTAGAGTCCATCATCAGAGTCACAGCCTGGCCCCTCCGGATCTTCACCACTCCTTTAAACACTTGCTGGTTGTTGTAGCAGGTGGCCAATGTAGCAATAGCCATCATCTAAAAAACGCACACGAATATGGTCAAAGGTTATATTCAAACAATAATACAGTAATAAATGTATTAACTACCCAAAAAAATTCAAATTCCATTTTTGTGTTCCAGGTACCCCTTTTAGACAGTATACCTGACCCACGCAGCAGTCAAGCAGAACAAGGTGGTCAGGAATACACCCCCATCCTGCTGGACAACAAAGGAGCCACACCTACAAAGCATATACTGCTACTAAACAGCACAACAAGGAGGGTGACACCACTCTCAGCACAATGACTCGGCAATGAAAAAGCAGCAACACACTTATAAGTCAACTTCTCTGCTCTTATCCCCTGTCAGCATGTTCACTGTCAGCACATGTGCACTGCAGAAGCCCCTGATTGGCTGCTTGTACTGGCCTCACCTCTCCCAGTCTGAGTTTATTGTATTTTAATGGCAGGAGGTTGATATTAAAATTTAACATTCTTAGTTATATTAAACCCTCAGTTTTTAAGCATTTTCATCTTCTGATTTCATCACTTGCTGAGCTACAGCTTCTTTATATTGTAATCCTTGTCTATGTTCTAGTTTAGGCTGGTGACATGATCATCACCCCAGGTTTTCTGTCTCAGGGTAGTTCCTTTCTCTTGCCGAATCCTATAGAGCCACCCTTGAATGCAGGGACAAGAGTTGTATCTCCCTACACTGTTCGCATCAATAGACACACACAGCCCTGTAGTCTAGGATGGCAAGGCACTCACCCCCCCCCCCCCCCACACACACTTCCCACTCCTTAGCAGCACTTACTGGCCAATATGCTGCAGACAAGGCAGGACTATCTCTTTACACTCTGAGATGTACAGTAGTTTGCAAGAGCAGGAATAGCAGCACTGCAAGGAACCGGAACTACAGGTCCCAATGGGCCACAAGACTGAAGGGAAGGAGAGGTGTATCGTTTTATTGTTCTGCCCAGGAAAGTTTGGGGCTTTTAACGTGGTGAGTGAGAGAGAGGACCTCTGTAGCAGAACTTGCTGCCCATCAGGAACTTAGTCAAGGGAGAACCTGTACCCAAAGCCACTGCAACTCAGGTTCGGACACCACTTGCAGACTCTATGTTGTCACTACTGAAGTGCTGAAGATACTGTTCACCACCCACACCGCTGTTCGCCGAAGGCCTCGGAGAAACACTGAGGAATCCCCTTCCACCAAGAGCATTGTCAGCTGCGACAGAGAGAGGGATATCGGACCAAGGCTGTTACTGTTTGCAGAACTGCAGGATGTTAATTACATGTAGTGTTGCATCACTTTAGACTACTCCCTCTATCCATCTCCATCTCTAGAAGATTGACTTTGCATTCGTACTAGTTCAAGCCTGTTATTGTGCTGAAGTATCCCTGCTGAGCTCTATCTATTCTTTCAGTGGAAAGACAACTTCACCATTACTACTTGCGTCCTCCTTATACAAATCCGCTGGGACAATTATAAAGTGCAAAAACTCCTATTGAAGGGTGCCAACGATAGCTGGCAGAACAAACAAAGATTGCTGCACAATGGGCCTGTTTGGCTCAGTCTCATTGTCCTCCTGTTAAGCAGTTATAGAGTTTACCAGATTGCTCTAGGCTGAGCACCATCATTGCTAGTGCACATTGACAGACTAGTCTCCTTACACTGGTTACCCTTTATCCCTGCTGATCATTGTTGCACTGTGGGTGTCATTGTCATAGTCTACACCCTAATCTGGATAGCAGGTGTTATATTTGGAATATTTATTGAAGAAACAAAGTAAGTATCACACTCACAATAGACATAAAAACATAGGCATGTCAAACTGAACAAGATGTATGATCCAAACATCTGAGTCCATATAATGGAACCCTGGATGACCAATTGGCTAACGCATTTCGAGGACACAACCTCTTCCTCAGAGCAAACCTCTAAGGAAGAGGTTGTGTCCTCTAAACGTGTTAGCCAGTTGGTCATCCAGGGTTCCATTGTATGGACTCAGATGTTGTTTGGATCATACATCTTGTTCAGTTTGACATGCCAGTGTTTTTATGTCTATTGTGAGTATGATACTTACTTTGTTTCTTCAATAAATATTTTAAACGATAATGCACTCGGTGCACCATTTTTCTGTATTTCCATTTGCATCTAGTGTATTTGGACCACCCCGGTCTGTTGAGGGCAGCAAGCAGTGCATATTACAGAAAATTCCAGAACATTCCTATTGGGCCTACTGAGTCCTTTCCTAGCGCAGGAGAAAAGGGTTTGTTGTGTTGGTTATATTTGGAATGACTTTCCTGTGCTAATTGATTCGTATACTCAAATGAAAGCTTAGTCACTATTAATTTGATCCTTTATTGCTATTTCTTATAATACAATCAGATTTCCTTTTCATTACAATCATTGGGTGTAAGTGTGTTCTTGCGGAGCACCTATTACTATTATTAGTGATTTCCCTGCAAGATTGCGGATCTGAACACTCAGCGGGTGTATCAGAAGGGTTGAGGACTTTGAGGACCAGACTGAACAAGCAACTCCTTCTGGGGTGGCATTACATTATGTGGGGACATTTGCCCATGTGGCATAAATACATTGTGAAATTCAAGTGCCCATGATATGCTGAAGTCTCATACAGCCACTCATAGACATGAATGGGTGAAACCGGTTGTATGAGGCTATGTGTCGCCATCATCCCCCAACACACACACTGCCTGCATTCAGGACATCACATCTATCTGCATATTCTAATTTAGGCGTAGCTGCAAACAGCCTCTTTCACCCATTCATAGGTGTCTGTATGCAACTCCAGGACATCCCTGGCACAAGTAATATGGAGCGTGTTTATGATGCATGATTAAATGTACTTATGTACATGAAGCCTAAGCCAACTTACCTTTATTTAATAAAAAAAAAAAAACACATTTTACATATACAGTATACCTTTTTTCCTTCTTTGGTTGGGTCAAGTTTTGGCAAGACTCCCCTTTCTTCACTTCGTCCTCCAGGCAGGGGCATATTTACCACAAGGCATTTGCCTTGGGTGGCATTTTTCAGGGGGACAGCACCTCCCCCGGAAGAAGGGATGGAGTAAGGGACACTCGCATCATGGGAACCAGATGGGATCTGAGAGAGGCTGCGGGCTGCTTGATGGTGTATGCAGAGCCTGACTCTCATTCCCGGGGATGTCTGGAGTTGTGAAGATGAGTGTCTCTCTCTATCACCTGGGAGGTAGTGGAAGGCTCTCCCAGGAGGGGGGCAGGGGTGTTGTTGGTCATTGTCAGGCTCTCTCCATGGGAGGGGGGGGGGGGGTTTGGTCGGTGTCCATGGGGGCAGATGATTTTTGTGTTGCCTAGGGCAGCACAAAACCTAAATACACCACTGACTCCAGGGACAGGCAGGTCCGACTCCTAAATACTGCAAAGAAAAATGCCACATTACCTGCACACAGTTCTCTGCAGCATTATTCTGTAAGTCCAGACCACAAGGGGGTAGGTCCGTTATGGCCTCAGTTCAGGAAATGAGTTGAATGAAGCTGAGTGTTTATCAACCCAGAAGAGGACCAAAGTTGGATATCAGAGTGGAGAGTCTGAGAGGAGAGCATTGCCGTGAAAGCTATTTATTTTAACTTTTGCAGGGGCATTAAGTAAGACCATCCATGGCTTAAGAAAATTAATTTGTATTCACTCCAACAGTGTTTAGACTACCATCCACTATCTAACATGGTCACAGAAGTTGGGGCACTTACCAGCGGTGCTGAACAGAATTTGAACACTCTCTGGTTCCGCAGTTGGGACAGGTACAGCAAGAGGTCAGGCACATGTTTCAGGGCATTGGTGATGAGCTCATTCAGACACTGCACAGCTGGCACAATATTTTCCGGCTTGGTAAAGTCAGACAACTTCTTCCCATATTTACTCCACACCTGTACAGGCAGAACAACAGACCTCAACTGCTGATCTTAGGTCTGAAATCTATTCCACCATCACAACTAGTACTTCATCTAGGTCAGGAGATGGCCCCCAGCCACCTCCAGTGTTGTGACAGGTAAGATCACATACAGTACATCTACACAATAAATACACATTTCCCCATGTTACGGCTGTTTAAAAACACTGCAAGTACAGAAATATCCCTGCCAGTGAGCTCCTAACTCTTCATTTGAGCGGATGACACAGTAACATTAAAAATCCCAGACTTCATACAATTTTCATAATTCTTATCTACATAAAAAGTGGTTACATTAATGTTCAAGAAGATACAAATCAGACACGAAACACGTCTACTTTACCAGGTCCAGAAGGCAAATAAGACAATAGCTCTAAGAAATATGTATAAGATCTATATCATATTTTGTGTGTAACAAATAGTTACTTAATTTCCTAATTAATGTGCTGGTTTCTGGATTGTGAAACCTTGTCATATGAAATTAAAAGGTGTCTGTCAGGAATGGACTTGCCAGTAATGGTGGGACTCACCTGCCTTGTGGGCTGCAGTACCTGGGCTGGCCAGCGGGTGCTCTCAGCAATCAGAGACTCAACCCTGCAGCCAGCCAAACACCTGAAGCTGATTATGCAGGTGTATTTAAGGGATGGCCAGACCTGCAGTCTGGGCCTTGGTGTGTGTTTTTTCCTGGGCCCCTGTATCTTGTAACCTGCGTTCCTGTTCCTGCCTCTGCCTGACTTGTTGCTGACCCTGCTTGATCCTGACCTCTGCTGACTTCTCCTGTTTTGATCCCTGGCTTGTGACCCTGACCATTCTCTCCGCCTGCTCCTCCTGTACCTACCTGCCCGATAGTTATCGACCCGGCCTGCCTGATTACGTTGTGCTCTATATGTGTATGTACCTGTGTATCTGTATCAGTCTAGGTTTGGGTTTGTTTCACCTTGTTGTATGTATTTGTGTTAGCTTGGGGTTTGGTGCACTGCGTTATGTTTGTATTGTTAGTCTTTAATAAATTATATTGTTTATAACTTATCTGAAGCCTGCATTTCCCTGCGTCAGTTCACATACCTCTGGTCACACCCTGGAGCCCTGACAGTGTCTATGTCTATATGAAAATACTCCAGCACACCTACATGTCTCAACATTAGCACTGGAATAAGTAGCTCCATAAAGTAGTAAAAGGTAGCAGGACTGGAATATGCAGCATATGTAGTGCCACAAAGGAGATATATGGTAGGCTCTCTCATGGCTTCGCAGAAAGAACTTCCAGTACCATTTTACGCTCTTTAAGGTTTTGGTGGGGGGCAGCCTCAAGAAGGGTGTTTGTCACATGACTTTTCTAGTTGCAATTTTATATTTATATATGGTATTACATGCTACACATTCATATTTTTTGTAGCAAGTGTTGGGAGTGATCACTGTTCGTTTGTTTAATTCACCATTTGTAGCTGGTGCACAGAAGCAATCACAGTGATCGGTCATTGTACAGTGCACCCCTGTTTTTTTTTTTCTCATTTTGAATGGAGAAAAAAAAACATACATCAAATCTTAATCTAGAAAAAATAAAGATGAAATAACTAGATCAGGGTTTGATCTAGGTCAGGGTTGGGGACAAGGTTAGGGTTAAAGGTCATGCTAAGAGTCAAAGGTTTGGGTATTTTAGGAAGGGGAAAAAAAAAAGCATTATAATATAGTATGTGTCAGTGTGTTTTCTAAGTGATGTCAACTTGGGTCCAAGTTCCAAAGAAAAGTTGATTTTGTGCTAGTCTTGCATGATCTTCTACTGTTGTCCCCACAGCTATGGTCAATGTGTCCAACCATCTTGTAGCAGGTTTCCCTTTTTGTCCAATTCCTTCAATCTTTTCAAGCATTATTTCCTTTTCCGGTGATCTCTGAGAGTGTGATCAAAATATTACAGTCGTAACTTCATCATTTGGTCTTGTAGTGACATTACCAGGTTTGATCTCTTCCAAAATCAATCTATTAATTCCATGGGCTGCCCATGGAAGACATAAAATACTTCTCCAGTACCAAATCTCAAATGAGTCAATCTTCTTCATGTCCTGTTAGTGTGGTGACCAGCTTTCACAGTCGTAATTAACAATGGAGAAAAGTAGTTTATGGACAAGTCTGATCTTCATTTTGAGTTAAATTTTTTTACCTTTGAATATTTTGTCGAGAGTCTTCATTGTGTATCTACCAAGTGCTATTCTGCGGAGTATTTTGTTACTACTATTTGCTTCCTTGTTTATGAAAGCCCAGGAGGAGATTAAACTGCTTTACAACTTCTGTTCTATCACCATTAAATTCAAAATCATTGTCACTCTGTTCATGTGTTTTAGGTAGGATAAAAAAAAAGCAAAATGTGCACTATTTTTTCGGGGCCCTACTACGGGTACAAACAACAAATAACATACACATTTATGGTATCACTGTGATCGTCAAGAACAGGAACACTTATTTTGGTCGTTCTTCTGATGATAGGTCATGGTATTAGCAAGAAATACAGCTAAATTTAAAAAATTTTTTTTTTTACTATTTTGTGCCAGTTTTTCTTTGGCATTGGAAATAAGACTGTACTCACCTCTTTTGGCCAGAACTCCTGGCCATTCAGCAGGTCTTCCAAAAAATCACGGATTATGTTGGTTTTCTGCATGAACAGACCAAAAGAGCTGGAGAGCCTCTTATCCTCCCCTACTACGGGATCCTCCAGCCCTGTGACACAAAATATTACTGACAGGCCACGTGTCAATGAAGCAGCTACATAGTCACAGTACTGTGGGAAGAAATATGAAAGACTTTAGAGGAAACATACAGTATAGTGATTTTTATGTATCTTATGTTTTAATTATTTTCAGTATTAAAAAATAAATAAAAACATGTTATTGTCAGGGAAATACAATGTTAAATATAAGTACCACTTCTAGCAATTCAGCAGAAGGCTCTAAGCTACATCAGCCTTTTTATCTTTTTATACTTGTCAGAGCCTCTACTGCCAATATAAAACCCACTTGCAGCCTCGTACCTTTTTATCTCTTGATAGTTCTGTACCCCTGAACGTCATTAATACATTAAAATACCATTCTCTCACTGAAATTGCAGCTTCGGGCTGTGACGATATCAGCGTCAGACCCCAGCCCTTCTCACCAAACTCGTGACCGAAGGACTAGCCAGTCTAAAACTGCGCTGTCAAGTGCGTAAGAAAGCCAGCCCAGCTGCACCCTGCACAAAGATTTTCCAGCTAATGGACCACAATCTGTGTACCTGCAGCCTGGGAGCGATTGTTACTGGGTCAGGTTAATTACGCAATTAACCCTTCACACTGCCACCACCGCCTTTTTGTACAGAGAAAGAGGAAACTCTGCAATATCAGCAATAACACTATGATGTTTGAATAATCGTTTATATACACAATGACACCGCACACAGATGTTTTAAAAACACACAGTAGCGCTCTTCAGAGACAGGAGTTCTTAGTTTGCATTAAAGAGCTTTAGAAACAGTTGAACACTTTTCAGATAATAGGATTTATTACTAAAAAAGGTCAAAATGGTGCAATGACAATATTTACAGAAAAAAGATGTAGCCTATATATATATATAAAAATATACAGAGAGCAATAACACAGCAAAGAGATAACAGAAAAAAGTTTAGAGTGATAGGAGTACTTGCCAAAAGTCCTGGGCTAAGCAGCTTTCAAGTTTCAGAGCATAAGGGCCTCTCTCTCCAAAAGTTGGTTCCTGGTGTTAAAAAGGAGAATTCTTCAACTTAGCTCAACTCAGCTTAACTTAGCTTTCTGCTTCAAGCATAACAGCTTTTCTTTCTAGGCACTTAGAGTGCCTCCTTGAAGCAGAGAACCAATCACCTCATTTAGGGAGGCTGTTGGAGGTGGAGACCCCAGCTAGAACCAAAATCCCTCACAAGTTGATACCAGGGCAATAACTTTCCCTGGATACATGTAACATTCTATCCACAAGTAGATTAATATGCAGAATCACCTGCCGACCGTCTAGATATGAACTATGACATACCTGCTGGGACGGTTAAGGAGATATCGTTTTCTGCTCTCCTGTAGATTCCAGCTCGGGGATGTAAGATATCAGGCGACTTGTATTAAAGTGACCCATCTGAATATATGCCTGGTTTTTATGTTTTTCATATTCCAAGATATGAAATCATAGGGGAAAAGGGGATTTTTAAATGTGAGTCCGTTTTAAGACTACCTGGAATGTCTTTGAAGCTCAGTGAAGGACTGGTTTTATGGCTTTACGATATCCCAGATTGAGAAGCTAACAGACATCCGTGCACCTGCTAGGTTGGGATTTTTTAGCCCTGGAGCTCTCCCACTGAGCCTGATTGCCTGTGATCTCTGCATCATACAGACCACATGTCACTCAACAGAGGGAGGGTGGAATGGAGGGGAGAGAGAGATACAAGATGGAGGATCCTTAGCAAGATGGAGGACCGCATCCATCTTTGTATGCACAATTGCTACACCTGTCCTCACACCTTAGTGCTCTATGCTGGCAGAGCTCAATAACAGCTACACCTCTCATCATAAGTATCTTCACACAGACCTATGTTGTAGAATAATAGAGATGATGTGTCAAACCAGGTGTGAGTTCTGATTATTGATGGAGCTGGGTCTATCTCTGGTGCCCAGTGGTGAATATAAATATATTATTTTATTATTCTAATTCATTTATATTTAAAACATCAGTATTTAAGAAGGTAAGGCTAACTATCAAACGGACACTGAAAGATTCTCTCCTTTTCTTCCCATGGTCCTTCATGCCCTTTGCCATGAAGACACTTTTTTTGGTGTTTTAAACATTTAATGACCACAAGGCTCCAGGTCCTCTTCCTCTCTGGCGTGCTTGCTGCTGCAGCATGTATACAACGCTAAAAAACATATTACACAGCGATATGGCACACTTGTTTTCTAGCTAGCCCACATCCATGCTCTCCCTCATTTCTCCATTGTCGCTGATGACATCTTCTCTCAGTCTTATTGTGGGACCAAGTCTACTTTATCAGCACGGCAGGGAAAATGCCTCTATTGTACATTCCAACTCACAATGTGGTTATTCAAACTCATCTAGTGATGAAACAGATAAGATTTGTAAATGTCCTTTTCACTAGCGATGCCATTTCTTACCTTATCCCAATCTTGTACAGATTCTACCTGCTTCTGTAGGTACTCCATCATCCCAACTGCTACCTCACGAACAGCTTTGACAATCACTTCCTGGTAAACCACAGCTAAGTTCCTAAACTCCCAAGAGATCTGAGAACAGAAGAAAACAGATATTTTTTTGCAGTACAGTACAGGACCTTGGCACCTTTAAGTCTTGACAAGTCTATATGCTGCCATATTCAGCCGTGGACACTGCCAAACAAAGTTGTTAGGATGTCCCATATACAGTTAGGTCCAAATATATTTGAACACAGGCACAATTTTAGTTTTTTCAGGTATTTACCAAAATATATTCAAGCTATAGTTATATAATGGATATGGGCTGAAAATTTGATGGTATGTACAGTCAGGTCCATAAATATTGGGACATCGACACAATTCTAACATTTTTGGCTCTATACACCACCACAATGGATTTAAAATGAAACTAACAGCAGTTAAAGCACATCTTGTTTGTTTCATATCAAATCCATTGTGGTGGTGTATAGAGGCAAAAATGTTAGAATTGTGTAGATGTCCCAATATTTATGGACCTAACTGTACATCCAAATTGGAGGAAGGGTTTAGGAATTACAGCTCTTAATAGTAGCCATCCCCCCTTTTTCAAGGGACCAAAAGTAATTGGACAATTGAATCACAGCCAGGTGTGGGCTACTGCTTTTTATTTCTTCATCAATTAAGCAGGTAAAAAGGTCAGGAGTTGATTCTAAGTGTGGTATTTGCATTCGGTATCTATTGCTGTGAACCTACATCATGTGTTCAAAGGAGCTGTCCATGCAAGTGAAACAGGCCATTGTCAGGCTTCAAAAACAAAACAAATCCATCAGAGATAGCAGCAACATTAGGAGTGACCAAATCAACAGTTTGGTACATTGAGGAAAGACGAATGACGGGAATAAAAAAGTGTGGAGAATGTCACGATCGCGGCATCAGACCCCAGACCTTCTCACCCAAACGTGAGACTGAAGGGCTAGCCGATCTAAAACCGCAATGTGATGTGCGTAACAATGCTACACCCAGCTGCACCCCGCACAATGATTTTTCAGCTAATGGATACAGATCGATGTACTGGCAGCCTGAGCAATTGTTACTAGATCAGGTTAATTACGCAATTAACCCTTCACACTGCCACCACCTACTTTTTGTACAGAGAAAGAGGAAACTCGGCGTAATCAGCTATAACACTATAATGATTGAGATAATCGTCTGTATAAAACGGTCTGCAGGCCAGTTATACAGAGGTTTAAACAACCACAGTAGCATCTCTTTAGAGGCAGGAATTTGTGAGTTGCAATACAGAGCTATAGAAACAGTTCAACACTTTCAGAAAGAAAGATTTATTACTAAAAGGTCAAACAGGAGCAATAAAAATATTTACAGAACAAAGATGTAACTAAGATATATATATATATATAGATATATATATATATATATATATATATATATATATATATAATTATACAAAGAACCATAGCACAGCAAAGAGATATCAGAGAGAGGTGAAAGGGTTAAAGTACTTGCCAAAGTCCTGAGTTAGCAGATCCAAGTTTCAGAGCAAAAGGGCACGGGTCTCTCCAGGTGGTATTCATGTTAAAATGGGAGACGTCTTCAAACTTCTTTCCTCTTAGGCCTGACAGCCTATTTTAAAGTCCCCAGCAGGGGGGTGGCTCTGCAGTCAAGGGCCAATCTCCACTTAGGGCGTGGAAATATGGGTGGATGCCTCAACTTGAGCAAAAATCTCCCATAACTCATATTTGCCTATAACTTTTCATCTGCACAAGTGACAGTCCACCCGCGGGTAGATTATTATGCAGACAAGTCTGAGGAATTAGATATGAATTAAGAAATTATATACTGCACGGTTCACGGGATCTATGTTTCTGCTTCCCTGAGTGTCCGAGACAAGGCGAATGACCCATCAAACTGTTCGCCTGCTTATTGGCCATCTGACGAGGTGTCCGGTTTTTATGTATGTCTCTCATATTCCAAGATATGAGACATAGGGGAAAAATGGATTTACCAGAAGTTATCTGATTCTGTCACCTACACAGAGTTAAGTTTTATGAGGTTAGAATCTTTCAACTCCTGAGAAAGCTTGCTGTATCTCTTAGGAGGTGTTACAATTGGCAGGTTACGTGGACAGAGAGACTCCAACTCTCTTGGGGGCTTTTACAGCTCCTATGACCCTCCTGTGACATTCCTAACTCACAAACATACTGGCCACATGTCCCTGGGCCTCTCAGGAAGGGAGGGGGAAGGAGAATAAGGGAGAAATGGATATGCTTAGCAAAATGGAGTCTGCGTCCTTCACTGTGTGTTGCGTACGTTTGCGACAGAGAAGGCTTGGAACAGCTCATGATCCAAAGCATACATCGTCATCTGTAAAACATGGTGGAGGCAGTGTGATGGCATGGGCATGCATGGCTTCCAGTGGCACTGGGTCATTGGTGTTTATTAATGATATGACAGAAGACAGAAGCAGCTGGATGAATTCTGCAGTGTTTAGAGATATACTGTCAGCCCAGATTCAGCCAAATGCAGCAAAGGTGATTGGACAGCACTTCACAGTACAGATGGACAATGATCCAAAACACACTGCAAAAGCAACCCAGGAGCTTTTGAAGGAAAAGAAGTGGAATATCATGCAATGGCCGTGTCAACCACCTGATCTCCACCCAACTGACCATGCATTTCACTTGCTGAAGGCAAAACTAAAGGCAGAAAGACCCACAAATAAGCAAATGAAGACAGCTGCAGTTAGAGCCTGGCAAGGCATCAGAAAGGAGGAAACCCAGTCTTTGGTAATGTCCATGGCTTCCAGACTTCAGGCAGTCATTTCCAGTAAAGGATTCAACAAAATATTAAAAATTAACATTTTATTTATGATTATATTCATTTGTCAAATTACATTTGAGCCCATGAAAATGGAGGGACTGTGTATAAAAATGGTTGCAGTTCCTAAAATTTGTACTTGATATTTATTTTCAACCTCTTGAATTAAAGCTGAAAGTTTGCACTTCAAATTCATTTGTATTGTTTCATTTTAAGTTATTTTGGTGGCATACAGAACCAAAAGTATGAAAAATTGTGCCTGTGTCCAAATATATATGGACCTAACTGTAACCCCTCTCAATAACAGCAATTCTCAGTCTTTTAGCAAGCAATCAAAAGAAAGCAGGGCACAGTAGAGGGAGTGCTGTGCTGTATTCCAAGAAATAGGCAAGTGAAAAGTACTTATTTGTTCATAGTACTGAACAGGACACAGCCTCCTTTATGTCTTGAGCAAGGGACATCTCCAAGCATTACAACCAAGGGTGAGAACACAGCAAACAAAGTCAATAGGCCCCCATAAAAGGGAATCAGGTTTCCAAATCAAAGAGCATTCTGAAGCACCTTACAGTTGAAGCTGACAGAGTCCTGAACAAATGTGTGTAAAGAAGACCAAGTGGTGACCCTACAAATCTGAGAAACAGATGCCCGGTGCTGAAAAGCCTAAGAGGCACTGGCTGATTAAAGTGAGTGAGCCTTAACAAGGAAAGGAGGATTCCAATCCTTCAAGGTGTAAGACTTATCGATAACCTGGCCAAGCCATCTAAAGATTGTGAAATAAAAATGCAGGGCAGCTCTTGTGAGAGCCCACAGGCAGGACAAACAGAATTTGAGGTACAGATGGATACAGTGGCCAAGAGATAAGCTTGCATCAATAGTACTGCTTTGAAATAATGTAGAGTGATCTCTTTAGATTGCTTTGGAGCAGGACAATGAAGGCAGGACTATGTCCTGCTTAAGGTGGAAGGAGGCACCTTAAGCAGAAAACCTCCTTGTCGTTATGAAGAATAAGTAAGGATTATTTACAGGATAAGGCCACCAATTCTGGGACTGGTCTTGCTGATGCTAGAGAAAAAAACACCTTACAAGTAAGGTCATCCAAGAGGATATCCAAAGTAGACTCAAAGTGAGGCTTCTGTAAAGCCACCAGGACCAAAATTGAGATACTAAGGCTACACAGGTGTACTAATAGGGGCATCGATGTTAGCCACCACCTGAACCCTAGGGCTTTTACTAAAGAGTGAGGCCAGCGGTCCCTTAAAGAGGTTGACCAGTGTCGAGATTTTCCCCTTAAGGGTGCTCAAAGCCAAATTTTGCTCCAGACCAGATTGGGGAAAGTAAAGTCCTGTAGGCAGACCTGGAATTAGCAGGGTCACTCCAGGGTTCAGTGTAGTAGTGAAGATAGTATACTATCCTTTGTCAAGGTGCCCTTTTGCACTCTTCGTGACCCTGTAATAGTTTAAGGTGGTCAGAGTATATGGTGAAACCTGGGCCCTGTTACCTTGGGTGTTGCTTTCTGTTTGCAATATTTGTATATAATTACTCTGTATAGGAACAGTGTGTTACATTTTGGTCACAGTTTACATTGCCTTGCTTCTATTTGACCAATCCATTTTCTAATATACATAGGGTTGATTTACTAAAACTGGAGAGTGCAAAATCTGGTGCAGCACTGCATAGAAAAAAAAAATCAGTTTTCAGGCTTTATTGTCAAAGATTATTTGAACAAGCTGAAGTTAGAAGCTGATTGGCTACCATGGACAGCTGCACCAGATTCTGAGTGTTCCAGTTTTAGCAAATCTCCCCCATAGTGTCAATTTACTGTGGTGTTGTTCATCTTATTGAATTGGGGTGTGTCAGAGTGATAGAGGTAGAAAGAATCCAGTTTCAGAGGGCTTATCAAACTAGCAGGTCCTTTGGGGACATGTTTCCGCTAGCCTACAATTAAAGGGGTGCTATACGGACCACCACTATTATGGGGGCCTTCTCCACTGACCACCAATTTAACCATTTGCCGCCCGCCCTATGGCTGAATGGCGGGCGGCAAATGTCATCAGCGTTCCGGGTGGACGCCATATGGCGTCCTCCTGCACATGCGCAGATTGCGCCCCTGCAGAGCGGCATGATCTGTCACCGGCCGTGTACCTTGGACACAGCCGATGATAGATCTGAGTATCGGCCCCGTTGCCGGTACCATGTGACCTGCTGTGACCAATCACAGCAGGTCACATGACAGTTGTATACAATGGATGGCTTCATTCATTGAAACATGAAACCTGAAAATTGGCCTGGGCAGGAAGGTGTAAAATTGCCCGGTATTGAATTGGTTAAGGGGTTGTTACAGCAATATCCCCTGGCAGGTGGGACAGTCTCACCTGACACACAGTCTAACCACCAGCTGGACTTTGGCAAATAGTGAAGATAGGCCAGGAGCCCTAGAGGTCTTCAGAGATCTTTGCTGCAGGCTAATATCAGGTTGCAGCCTTCAGAAGCGCCCCTTCAGTGGGTGAGTGATGACAGGGAATTTAATGTGCGGATATTGTACAAAAAACATTTAGAAAAATGTGTTTTTCAGATCCAAAACAGAGGTTATGAGCATGAAGCAGGCATGAGATTGATCAGGCAAAAGCTACATTCTTGGACAGTCAGCAGGCAAGAATGTAGCAAGTTCAATCTGGGCTAAAATTGAAACAGGCAATCAGTGGTGTAGTATAGCTCTTGTGTATATAACAGGGTATCTGGCAAGAAGAAACAGCATCAGACACTTTCAGGGTCAGATGAGGAATGCCCAGTGTCATTTCAGGGAACTCCAAAACCTGGCACAAAGTTTCCAACTACCATTGAAGCCCTGGTAGGGCATTTGCGAGCACCACTGAAAGTCTTGGCAGGAATTCTGAGAGTATGAGTTCTGGCAGTTCAGCTGCGAGCACAATTGAAAGTATTGGCATAGATTTTAAAAGTCCTGGCAGAAGGTCTTGTGGACCTGGAGTCCATAGGAATCCTGAAAATGGATAGATGGGTGGTATAGCATGCGTTCTGGAAATGCAAAGATGGACGATGAGACAGGGCTTCTCCTCCACTGACCACTAATTTAAGAAAACACGACAATGAACATTTAAGGGGGTACTTCACCATTAACCACCAATTTAAGCAAATCTTAGTGACCACCATTGTAAGGAGGCAATACACTGACCACTACTGTAAGAGGACACTTCACAACTAGCAACCAATACTTTATATACTGTACTGATTCAATCTACTTAATAGTTCAATAAACATGCTTTAAAATGAAAAATAATGCAATAGCAGCATGGTAACAGTTCACATAAATGAGACCCAAACTTTACTCACTGTTGGGAAATCCTCAAGCACTTGGCAAGTTTTCTTCTTGCTGTCCATGAACTTCCAATCAGGCTGGTACAATAGGTTGTGAAAGTTTTTCAGAATCTGGATTTTGGTCTCCATACTGATCGTCATGTCATCCTCCACAGTGTCCATAGCTTTCACAACCAGATAGAATATACAGAATATGTGCCTAAGGAGTACAGAGAGAAGACAGCTTCTTAGGGCTCATGTACACGGGGAGTTTGGAAAACTCTTCTGAATGATGGAAACTAACTGCTGGAAAACGTAGGTTATAAAATGTCAGTTTTGCTGCGTTTGCATAACACATTTAGCAGCATATATGCATGTTTGCGTTCAGAAGCTTTTTAAAAGGTAACCTCAGAAGACCTTCCCAAATGCCCAGAATGCACTGAAAAATAGTAAATTCACTAAAAAAGGCTACTAAACTACCGCAGTTAATTTTATCAAGTCATGCGGTATTTTTGAAGTGACAAGCACCCCCCCCCGAACCATACCAGGCCACATGCCCTCAATATGGGGGGGGGTGCTTTGGGGTAGGAAGAGCTCCCCCCCCAAAGCACCTTGTCCCCATGTTGATGGGGACAAGGGCCTCTTCCCCACAACCCTAGCCAATGGCTGTGGAGGTCTGCGGGCGGGGGGCTTATCGGAATCTGGATTGGTATCAATGAAAGAATGTTCCCCAATACTGGTGTCAGTAGAAGGACCGGTGCTCCAGCATTGGTGTCAGGGAAGGACTGGTGCTCCAGCATTGGAGTCAGTGGAAGGAGTAGTGCAGTGGTATCAGTGTCAAGAAAAGTGCCCCATCTTTAGTGTTAGCGGGACTAATAGTGCTCCATATTTTATATTGGTGGATGGAATTATGCCCCGTTGTGATGTCAGTGGCAGAAACAGTACCCCAATGATGGTACCAGTGGGAGGAAAAGTGCCCCCATCTTTAGTGTTAGTGAAAGTAATAATGTTCTGTAGTATATATCAGTGGGAGACATTATGTCCCAATGTTGGTGTTAGTGGGAAGAATAGTGCCCCAAGGGCCAGATAATGGCAAAGGTCTGCATCTGGCCCCCGGGCTGCAGTTTGGAGACCACTGGTGTAGAGGATAGTTAATAAGTACTTTTGCTCTCAATGGCAGTGAACTGATGCAAGGTCCCCTTTAAGGCACTGCACAAGAACAGATTCAAAGTAGTGAAGTGTAACAGTTGTAAAAAAAGCATGTTTTAAGTGCCTCCACAGGTGTTCAAAACCTCAGTATATCCAGGAATATGGACCAGAAATTCCACAGCTAAGCAGTAGATGACAGTAATCTATTCACCCAGTCACAAGATGGCCGCTTGGAACGCGCGTTCCACTCACCGAAAGTGCCGAAGCACTGCGTTCCAAGCAACACTAGTGAGCCCAATGCTGCGATTCCAGGTCAAAGCCATCACGGGACAATAATAAAAAAAAAAAAAAAAAAAAAAAAAAAAAAAAGAAGAAGGGGCATGTATACTATTTGTGGCCTTTGGGCCCCACAACAATGACTGGGCCCGGGCAGCTGCCCCTTTTGCCCTTTGTTAAAGATGGCCCTGATGCCTATGCGACTGAAAGAAAAAAAATTTCCAAAAATTGTATTTTCTAAAAATTGTATTTTACAATAGACAAATTCATATTTAACAGAAATTACACTCACCGAAGTTCCCCTTCCAAGGCCTGGGTGATTGGGGCATAGCTCCTGCCCGTCTCAGTCAGGTATTTGTAGCAGGTCTGCAGGCTCTCACTCATGGGGTCCTGTTGGGAAAGAGACGGGATGGAACCTTTACAAAGCAAATGTACACAGCCTTCTGTGAGCAGCCTAATAACTGCCAGTAGCGCCCACTGGGCTTCTATGCAGCGGGAAATACATACAGTTCAATTCATGAAGCTATAAATGTATTACGTTGAAAATAAAAAAAGGTGTTCAAATTCTTTCTGTAGAAAGCAGCTTGAGTAGAAATGCCTGTCCCCTGCCAACATGCTGCAGAGAAGACCCCTTGCTCTTTGTGAGGAAGCAGTAGTCTGAGGCCTGATGCAGGCCATAGACGTGACGTTTATCGTCTGATAAACGAAAAATCGGTAGTTGCTGCCACCAATGCTTACGAAAAACGGCCATTTTTCGTAGATTTTCCAGCATGACCGATAAAAAGAAAATGAGAAGAACCGTGAAAATCGGCTGACGACATTGCCCCACTAATGGTGTGAATATCGGCCGATTTTTTCTTTCGGGCGAAAATTCGGCTGATAAACGACCCGTCTATGGCCTGCACAACACATCCCCTGCCTTCTAAAGAAAACAAAGTTTAAGACTTTAACCACTTGACCTCCAGAAGGTTTTAACCCCTTCATTACCAGGCCATTTTTTGCTATTCAACACTGTACCCAAATGAAATATATATCTTTTTTTCACACAAGTTTTAATATTTAATCACCACTGGGTTTTTTATTTTTTGCTATATACAAGAAAAAAAGCCACACATTTGCAAAAAGAACACGTTTTTCTTAGTTTCTGTTAAAAAATACAATTTTGCAAACAAATCTTTCTTCATAAATTTAGCCCAAAATGTATTCTGCTACATTTCTTTGGTAAATATAACCCAAATCAGTGTTTATTATTTAGACTGTAGGAAAGTTGTAGAGTTTCAGGCTACAAACTATGGGATATATTTGAAAATGGATTGTTCCTGATGTACTGACAGCCTATTCATTTCTTGAGGTCCGAAAATGCCAGGACAGTACAAATACACTCCAAAATCAACCTTTATGGAAAGCAGGCAGTCCAATGTATTTAGTAGGAGGTATGACGAGTTTTTGAAGTTGCAATTTTTTGTCACAAGCTTTTGGAAAATTAAGAAATTAAAAAAAAAAAATTTGTTTGCACATTTTTTAAATTTTTTTTTACATACTGTCACCAGTGCATTACAGTGTCATCATACTGGTGTGGTGGTTATCAGGGATACGGACTGGTGACAGTATATAAAAAAAGAATTATAATAATTAATAAAAAATTAATTTTTTTCGTTTTTTTTTTCTATTTTTTTTACATACTGTCATCAGAGCAGTTGGGTTTAATGGGCGACAGGTTGTATAATTTCCACCTTGGTGTACTAACATGGCCACTGGCCATTTTGAATCACCTTTATTTTCCTCAAGCATTTAAACACAGGGGTAGATTGTTTCTATTCTTTGTGTCAGAAACATGTCTCCTTTCTAAATACGAAGCCTAAATCTGGCCATAAATGGATTTTTTTATTTTTTGCTATCAGTCAGTTGGCTTATCAAAAAAAAAAAAAAAAAAAAAAAAAAAAAAAAAAAAAACACACAGATTCCCTACATCCACACATGGATGGGAGAATCCTCCCGGCTGTGTGTTTGAATTCTGACAGCTGTCAGAATACACTGATCAACGTTGTGGCCGATTGGCTGCATGAGCTGATCGGACACATTTCACACAAAGGAAGCAATGGAAAGAGAACAGGATACCTTTTTCATACAAGTAAATGGTACAGCAGGCACATATCAGGAATAGAAAATGTTGGGTTTACTTATTCTTTAAAGAGCAGCATCATATATACTAAAAAGATGCTTTGAGCCCTCATATTATACAGTGACTTGAAAAAGTATTCATAACCCTTGAAATTTTCCACATTTTGTCATGTTACAACCAAAAACGTAAATGTATTTAATTGTGATTTTATGTGATAGACCAACACAAAGTGGAAGGAAAATGAGAAATGGTTTTAAAAATTTTTTTTTACAAATAAATATGAGAAAAGTGTGGAGTGCATTTGTATTCAGCCCCCTTTACTCTAATACCCCTAACTAAAATCTAGTGGAATCAATTGCCTTCAGAAGTCACCTATTTAGTAAATAAAGTCCACTGTGATTTAATCTCAGTATAAATACAGCTGTTCTGTGAGGCCCTCAGAGGTTTGTTAGAGAACATTAGTGAACAGCTTCATGAAGGCCAAGGAACACACCAAACAGGTCAGGGATAAAGTTGTGGAGAAGTCTAAAGCAGGGTTATGTTATATAAAATAAAAAAAAAAAAAAAAAAAAAAAAAAAAAAAAGCTTTATGGAGCACTGTTCAATCCATCAGAAAGAAAAAGAAAATAGAAAGAGTATGGCACAACTGCAAACCTACCAAGACATGGTCATCCACCTAAACTGACAGGCTGGGCCAGGAGAGCAGTAATCAGAGAAGCAACCAAGAGGCCCATGGTAACTCTGGAGGAGCTGCAGAGATCCACAGCTCAGGTGGGAGAATCCATCCCCAGGACAACTATCAGTTGTGCACTCCACAAATCTGGCCTTTATGGAAGAGTGGCAAGAAGAAAGCCATTGTTGAAAGAAAGCCATAAGAAGTCCCATTTGCAGTTTGCGAGAAGCCATGTGGGGGACACAGCAAACATGTGGAAGAAGGTGCTCTGGTCAGATGAGACCAAAATTGAACTTTTTTGCTTAAAAGTAAAACGCTATGTGTGGCGGAAAACTAACATTGCACATCACCCTGAACACCATCCCCACCGTGAAACATGGTGGTGGCAGCATCATGTTGTGGGGATGTTTTTCTTCAGCAGGGACAGGGAAGCTGGTCAGAGTTGATGGGAAGATGGATGGAGCCAAATACAGGGCAATCTTAGAAGAAAACCTGTAAGAGTTTGTAAAAGACTTGAGACTGGGGCGGAGGTTCACCTTCCAGCAGGACAACGACCCTAAACATACAGCCAGAGCTACAATGGAATGGTTTAGATCAAAGCATCTTCATGTGTTAGAATGGCCCAGTTACAGTCCAGACCTAAATCCAATTAAGAATCTGTGGCAAGACTTTGGTTCTACAAAGTATTGACTCAGGAGAGCCGAATACAAATGCCGCCACACTATTCAGATATTTGTAAAAAATGTTGAAAACTATTTATCATTTTCCTTCCACTTCACAATTATGTGCCACTTTGTGTTGATCTATCACATAAAATATATTTACGTTTTTAGTTGTAACATGACATAATGTGGAAAATTTTAAGGAGTATGAATACTTTTTCAAGGCACTGTAGAGGTTGCATGTAATTTGGTGAGTGATTTTTTTCACTGGGTATGGATGAGCACTTTGGATTGTCAATCACTAAAGATCTGCACTGAGGACTTGAATGTCTTTTAAGTGTCTTCAATAAGGCACATAAATGGACACTTTATTGAATTGTGAAAGCAGCAGCAGAAAAGAGCACACGACTGTTTATTATTGACAAACTGTCAAAATATTGTTTAGGTTTACTATGAGGAGAAAGTTGTATTTATTTGATGATCACATGGTAAGTAATCCGGTAAATATTCATACAGAAGTTTTATAATTTTTAATTCTGTTAGCTTTGAGTACATAGCTGCTGCACCTCTTTTTAAATTAGCTTGGCTTGGCGCATGGAGCATTAACATCCTACACAAGCAGGTTTCCCGTCCACCCGGGTCTATTAGTGGCCTCAGAAGCATTGGAACGCCAAGCAACTTACACCGGTGGGGAAGCACGGCACCACGGAAGGCAGGAAGGGTAACAACTCCACTCCCATTAATACTTACTTTGCCCACTCTGCCTCCCATCAACCGACTTCCAAGATGGCGCCGCGCCATTATCCCCTAACTCGGCCTCACAGGAATGGTCTCCGCGCCACTCTCCGTCACCACAGGGCTCTGATAGGCTTTCTGCCCACTCTAGAAATGCCTCTCTAACATCAGCATGCTCCAGGGATGGCTGCAAAATGGAGGCCTATCTAAAATCACTGCCTACTGAGCGGGACTTTGACTTACTGATCGCCAGACTGGAACGCACCTATAAACAAGAGATTGCTGATCTTAAAAAATATATCAGTTCCAGGCTGGAAGACCTGGAGCAGGTCTCGGATGAATATAGTAGAGCTCTGAATGCGCATGAGGTTACCCTGAATGAACATACAGTCCTTATTCATCTATTGTATCAACAGGATGACATTGAAAATAGGAAGACGCAATAACATCTGCATTCGTGGATTGCCGGAATTGGTCGACCATAAAGATCTTTCATCAGCAGCTCATGTCATCTTTAATCAGCTTCTGCAAAAAAACGCAAAGATTCTCCTATTGACATTGATCACATTCACAGGGCCCTGGGCCCCAAAAATTTGGACGCATCATTTCCTAGAGATGTTATCTGTAGAATCCACTTCTATGAGGTTAAAGCCGAAATTCTTCAGGTGGCAAGGCAGCAGGATACAATCTTATGCAACAACACCCCTGTCATGCTTTTACCCGACCTGTCTCGCCTCACTTTGACCATGCGTAAAGCGCTTAGACCTATCACTACAGCCTTACTCACTAAGAACATCAAATACTCGTGGAGCTTTCCCTTTCATCTGAAAGTAATCCATGATGGTAAGACTGCTCTTTTCCGTTCTTTGGGAGACTTACCGGATTTTCTGGGAAAGCTGGATTTACCTGCCATCACTTTGCCTGACTGGCCTCTGAAAACCACATCTCTGGGCCTAACCTTGACCTCTTCTGATCAGCAGTGGCATCATCCATTGAGGAAGAAGGGTTCCCGCTCCACTCCCCATGGATCGCCGGATGACAGACTTTATTTGGTTCAGACGGATGTTTCTTCTTCATAACATAGGTTGTTGGAATCACCTTCCTTCCTTAGGCGCCACAGTCGCTTCCTTTTTCATACCCATTTTGTATGTGCTTTACCCAATTTCATGCATTCTCAAAATTAAGTTCGCTC